ATGTTAAAAGAAAGTAAGCTGAAGACTCAGATGGAGATGATAAATTTGATTTTTAAGGTGCCAATTTCAGTAACTCCCTGAGACCAGGCAAACAACTTAGTAGAAATGCCATGAAGGTTTAGCGTTGACTTTCTTAATGTCTCTGCCTACAGTGAGATCTAGCCAATGTGGAAGAAAGCTCCTTTAATTAAATCTGAAAGGGCTGTATAATCTAGAATAATACCTGCAGCCTTTTGTGTCAGTGGCATGGGGTTGCCTTTGGGTAAATACATTGGTACAGAGCTCACGTGCTGTCCCCATCTCAGACCTTTCCTGTGGTCCTTCATAACTGTGCTGAGCAGATCCCCCTCTCCTTTTGCTTCTCTGTGGCCTGCTCACAGCAAGCTGAGGTGGCCTTCCTTGATGCCACCACGTGCAATAGCTATGTAATTATGTAGATACATACACAATCTCTCTGAAATCCTCCTAGTTTTCAATTCAGTTCAAAAAGCAAACTTGTTCTGAGCCGCAAGTCCCAATTACAACTTGAATATGGGCCACACTTTAAAACCAGTTTTAATCTAGGTGTCCACTGCATCTCTGAGGCAGGCCAAGCACTCTGTGTTGTGCCCAGCAGCTTGAATAAACCTCATAACCACTGCACTGGTGCGGTTCAGGATGGGGTGTGAATTTTCAATACCGGGACTGGATTCCCCTGAGCCTTATACCTTGTGTTGTCATTTACACCTATGGAACCAGCTGTAAAATACTCCTCCCTGGTTTTCCCATGTCCACTCTGGTTTGCACAGATGAAACCAATGCAAGATGTGCAAAAAGAGTCTCAAAGCAAACAGGACCCTGCACAGGAGGACCCTGTCCTTCAGTTACAGGAAGGCAGGAGTCTGAATTCCTCCTTAAATCTGGTCCAGTACAGAGTCAAGCCCTAGAAGAGAGGAAATTGTGCTTGACAGATGCAATCATATGCAAATGGCTGTAGAAGAGGGGAAATTATCATCTACAAACATTGGGCAGAAATTCCATCTGCCGCCGCCTCAAGAAGGGCTCTTAATAAATTCTGAGACAGCAAAGTGACACACATCTTAATCAAGACTTAATCCATGGAATTAATTCACTGCGCGTTTCTGCATAATTCTGAGAGTAATGCTAAAAGCCATGGCAATATCAGCAGCAGATGGACTCCCCCTACTCCATGCAAAGGTATTAAAGAAAACACAGCCCCTGTCACATCACTTCGTGTACATACACATGGCAAAAAGCAACAGGGCTGTGCCCTGCTGCTGCCAGGAGCTTACACAGCCGGCGGACATCAAAGGTCAGGCTTGCCGTGAGGTGGAAATGGAAACCAGCCTCATGGCAAAGATAGAGCCCCTGCCGCTTCTCTCCCAAAGGACAGGAGAAGCCTGGAGCAAGGCAAAGGTCTGGGAAACCGGGACCAGGTTCCTTCATTACACGCCACTTTTGGCGAGAGCTGATTGAGGCCGGTGTCAAGACAGATTCGCCAGTGCCCGGGAAAGGCTGGGGATGGAGGTCAAGCGAAGGAGAGAGGGGAGGGAAATTGCTGGGGGTTTCATGAGCAAGATCTGCTGGAGAAATCAGGCAGAGAATGATTAGAAATGGCTCCCTGCCCTCTCACCACGGCCTGGGAAGCACGCTGCAGGTATGGGGGTCAGCCTTGCCAAGGGCCCTGGTGGCAGCCCTGCTCAAATTGACAGGAGGTTTTAGACAGATCTGAAAATACATTCTTAGTCACTGTCATCCACCTCCAAAGGAGGTGCAACAGCTATGTGACTAATCTCTTGTTTACATGTCTAAACGCTAGCGCAGTCCAGACGAAATACTGCCTACAGCAGGCTCCCTCCCCGACACGCGTGGATTTGAGGGGCTGGGCACTCCTTCACCAGCTAGAAGCCTGTCTTCACAACTGACCTCCACCTGCAGTTTGGAAGTCCCAAATGCCTGGTCCAAACCTCCCTAAACTTGAGGGTCCCAGATCCTGGCATGGTGCATCAATGCTGTTATGTTTTAGAGCGAGAGGCTCCCTAGCTGGGAAGGTGCGGTGTTAGCTGGGGTGACAAGAGTTTCAGGAGCTGCCGTGGTCCCCTCGAAGCAGTCCAGCCTTCAGAAGCTGTTACACCTGCATTGGTGGCAACACATCGTCCTGCATACAGCAGGGTTATTATCTGAAACTCAGATTAAGGGCTAAAACAGTGCCTTTGCAAGGTGATGTGGCTGGGCTTGTAGCACTTGCTGCTTTGTGCCTGCCTCTCCATGAGCATCCAGTGTGGTCCAGAACAAAGCTGTGCTCTCAGCTGAGCTCTTCTGGGCAATACAGGTGGAGGGTGAGGGGGCCCTGAGAAAGAGCCTGATGAGAATAATTGATCAGAACAGAGAGGTGTAGAGAGAGGTGGTGGAGGAGTCCCAGTGGTGCCTGCAGTTGTGGGGAGTAGACCCGCCAGCTTCCCAGCTGGGATGCTTTCAGCCCGGGGAGGTGGCTCACGGGCAAAGGACAGTCACTTGAGGGAATACGGGGAGCCTTCAGCAACAATGACCTAAGGCTGGAAGCAAGCTGCTGCTGCAGCCAGGATCACGCATTCCCAGGCACCCAAGGGTGTGTAATGTGATTCCTGTGTTAATTCAGGCTCCAGAGGACCTTACTACCCCAAAGGAGTCCACTTGCACTGCTCCAGGTCCCTGCTGGAGGCAGTGGCTGTGCAGGCAGACGTGCCTTCCTATCAGTGTCACATATGGGAGTGCTTTGCTTTTGGGATGTGTGCAGGTACATCTGCGTTAGTACTCTCTGGACAGCTTTACTTGGGCTTGACTGGTTTGTGGAGAACCAAGGGAGAAAGAGAAGGGAAGCTGGGCAGGGAGGATGGGAGAGGCGGGATGTCTGGGGAAGGTGCTAACAGCCCTTGGCTGGCCCAGAACCACTTCCTCAGATCTCCGTTACACAGCATGCTCCTGGCGTTGCTATTTCAGTCTGAATGTCACCTATAAATTGGAGACTCTTTCTCTGAAGGCTGCAAATAGAAGTGTCACTAGATGATCTTTGATTTATAGGGAAGCTCAGCAGAAAGCCTGGCATGTCCATTTTCCAGCCAGGAAACTCAAAGGGGTCCAAGGATCACACAGGGATCCTTTGCTTTTCCTAGACCTTTCCTCAAGGGTTGGCAAATCCCTCCCGGAGGGGGTGGGGAGAGGTCACACACAGAGATTCATCTCCCTAATCATCCTGTGCCTGCTCCTTTTTCAGATTCCTCCTCCTCCGCCACCCATCCCTGCCCCATGGATTTCAACCTGCTGGCAGACGCGGAGGCTCGCAGCCCAGCCTTGTCTCTCTCTGACTCTGGAACCCCTCAACACGAGCATAACTGCAAAGGGCAGGACCACAGCGGTGAGTGCAAGGCTCAAGATGCAAGAGAGGCCCTGACCCATCCTTGTGGGTGGATCTGGGTGGCCAGTGGCTTGCAGGAGCCAGGGACATGCTGAGCTTCCTCTTGTACCGTGAGCCAGCACAGTGCCATGGTGGCACGGCCACCCCAGCAAGCAGGGGGAAGGCACAGGGGTGTGTATCGCGATGACAGCCATCAGGAGGGTGACAGCACCATCTTGGCGATGGGGGTGCAGGGTCCCGGCTGCAGGAAGTCTCCGCTGATAGAGGGCACAGCCCATGGCAGGCAGGAGTCAGGCAAGCCAGGTCACTGCCCAACCAAGATTTTACTGTTTTCACGTAAACCGGGTCCCCAGAGCAGGAGAGCTCTCCCCGCAACATGGGAAATCTCATCCAAGGCAAAGAAGACTACACCTAGTTATAAACTGACACCCCCCCCCTTTTTTTTTTTTTGAACTCTGTTTGAATTTCTTAGGTTAAAACTTTTCATGCTACGGGTTAACCTTGGGCTACACTTCCCAGGTTCAGGCAGTAAGAAGGAAGAGTGTTTGTCTTGCTTCTGCTTTAATTGAAAAAGCCTGGTCAGCTGTGCCTTGGTACAAGGCTCCACAGTGGGCTGCTGCTGTCCCAAGGAGGTGCCTCTGACCACTCCCAAAGGCTGAACAAACCCCAAGCCTACGGGATTCTTTATCAGGCACTGAAGAAGAAACATCACCATTCACACCCACTCAGAAATCAGCTACCAAATGCTATGGCATCTCCTGGATTTTGCATCTGTCCTGTGACTGCTCCATCTCTTGTTGCTCTGGATGTGGCAGGGCGATGCAAAACTGCCCCTGCCAGTGCCAGCATGAGCGGAGGCGAGGGCTGGGGACAGCCTGCTACTCCCCGTGTAAAGCCTCCAGGCTCACCCGCGTGCAAAAAGCTAATAAGCATAATGATGCAGATTAAAATTCTTCAGAGTAAGTATTGTGAAGGGAGTTACGCTGGGATAACTATGGTCAGAGAATCCACCCGCTGAATTCCCTGCTGCACACGTACCTTAGTTGGGCACATCCCCAAGCTCAGTGGCTCCTCGTCAGCTGCTTTGGATGCATGGCGGTCGTCTCCATTCAAGTGGCCTTCCCGATCGAGCCCACCCTGGCACGCCACAGAACTGCCAATTTAGGAGCTGACTTTTTTTTCCATTAGGCGTGAGCAGCTAATTCCAGCTATGACTGCAGTCGTTTCATTGAGTGGGCGAACGTGCACGAGATATATTCCACAACCTATTTTGGGTTGACAATAAATGCTGGGTGCCTGGCTACCTCACTCCCCACTGTCTTAAACGGTCTAGAAATAAAGCGGTTCTGGGAGGTGGGTGTTTGCCAATGCTACCTGCACGCAGAGGCTGGCAGCTTGTGCATTTGTACCAGAGAGGCCGATGGCAGCCACACATCACCAGTGTCGGGCAGAGCAGAGCATGCCACCAATGCGCTTCTGGCACTTCTTGCCTCTCCTGCAGAGAGCAGCCTCCCTACTCCTCCTTGGCTCCACAGAGCAAGAGATCCTGAGGAAGGGAGCACAAACCTTGCTTCTCTGTGCTCAGCTTCTGGAGATCCCAAGTGTCCTCCGATGGTGTGGTGTGGTTTGTGACACCCCCTTCTGTTAGGTTGCATCAGGCAGCCACAGGTCAGGGGGAAAGACTTCTTGCCTCTCCTGCAGAGAGCAGCCTCCCTACTCCTCCTTGGCTCCACAGAGCAAGAGATCCTGAGGAAGGGAGCACAAACCTTGCTTCTCTGTGCTCAGCTTCTGGAGATCCCAAGTGTCCTCCGATGGTGTGGTGTGGTTTGTGACACCCCCTTCTGTTAGGTTGCATCAGGCAGCCACAGGTCAGGGGGAAAGCAAGGATGAGGAGGGAGGAAGTGAGGAACTGCCCTGCATCTCCCCATATTCTGCTCCTCAGCATGGATTCAAGGCACTGTCCTTCCTGCGGGGCCCCTTTTTCCCCTGTCATTGCCACACTTCTGGTGCCCACTGCAACATCTGAGCTCTGCACTATTTACAAGAGGGCAATTCTTCCCTGCCTAGAGAAGAAGCAGAAATGGAGATGCCACTCCCTATAAGCGGTGCTCAGGAAGAGCCACAGGTAGCAGGTATGGAAATGGAGAGGACAATAAGAGGAACGTGTAGCTGCAGAGATTTTTCTAGGCTCAAAGTCAGGATTCCTACATCTCCTTGGACTTCACAAGATTTATGGAAAGTTCTACACCAGAAGGTATGAGAAGATGAATACCAAAGCAAGATGGTGAGCTCTTCCACCCAGATGTAGCCTATAAGCCAGCAGCACCTTCGCTCCGTTCTCCTTCCCTCTCAGTGTAGTTTCTTCCTGTGTGAAGAAGGGCAGTCCTGAGCCGGAGCTCCCTATTAGGGCACAGCCTCCTGCTTTGCAGCAGCCCCTTCGGAAATCCGCATTTGTCAGGGGCTCCTGTGGGAACATATCCCCTGTATGCATCAGGCTCTTAATTAACCCAGACTTAGCAGATGAACAAACAAACCAAATGTTGTCCCTTCATCTGTACTGAGCCATTCCTAATAACTAGCTCAGACGTGGTGGCATCACTCCCCTTTTAATCTGTTTTAGAGATGGATAATGTGGGAAATCTCCCTCTTCCAACACTGGCTTAGAGCGCTGAGCTAGAGAAATCAGATTTATCTCCTTGGCAAGAACCACTATAAAAAAGTTCCACATTAAAAGCATGCTTCCAAGAGTTCTGCTGAATGTGGGATCCCCAGGTGAAGATGCTCATGGGAACGAGGAGAGTACCACGAGACCACAGCCAGCTCCTGCCATTCCACTTTTCAGGTCCTATGGCTTCGTCTGTTTCAAGAGTGCACAGGGAAAGTTCTCTTGGGGGTAATGCCCTGGATGGAAACACGAGCTGGTCCTGGCACTGGGAACAGGAGACAGCACCTTCCTGCTCAGCAGAACCAGCTTGTGCCCTGCTGTTGTGAGCAATAGTCAGCTTGCTCTCCTTGCATTAGCTTTCCTGCTGGTGGACAGCATTAAACATGTCACAGAAGTGGAGGCAGCTGGTGGGGATCCTGGGGGGGACCCACATTGCTTCGGTCAATGCAATGCATACCTATAGAAACAAGCCTTTTCTGACCCTACACAGGCTTTTCTCCATGAAGAGCAAGTGCCTCTCCTGCAAATGCTCTCTGTGCTCCCTTTGGAGGAAGGCAGGTGCAAGGAGGGTTTTCCCCAAAACAGCAGTGAGAGCTTTTGGAATTAACATGCTGCCGCAGGAACGGGGTAGCGGCACCAGGTTCCTGGGACAGGAGCATCTCCCAGGGCCGGGCCCTATTAAAGCACCTGCTGTTGGGTACAGCACTGCCCTGCAGCAGAGCCCTTTCTCTGTCACGGCTCAGATGCTTTTCAGCCTCTCTCTCAGGCTCTCTCTTTTCCATGTAGTTTTTATGGGGCATATTTTTCCAGAGCACATCCATCTGACTTGAGGAACATTTTTTTTTTTTCTCCTTGCCCAGCTCTATTCTGGGTTACTGTTTTCTTGCTTCCCTGCTTGTTAAGGGGCTGTACAAGACACCTTCCACATTAGGATTTTTCTGGACTTTGAAGCCTTTTAAGCTGGCTTCCACTTAAAAAAACATGACTAAACAAAAAAGTCCTTTTAATCTGAATCTCAGCAGAGGGATGCCAGGATTTTTTAAAGGTTCTTCTCCCTGATGCCACAGTATTGCAACTGTTTACAGTAATTTCTACTTAGTTTAGCTGAGAGTTTCCCACTGTAAAAGAACACCTCCCCTCCCTGCTGAAACTGGATTGTCAGTTGGAACTGCTTCACCTTGCTTCTAGATCAGAGGAAGGAGTAGTTGAATATCAGAAATTATTTTCACGGGAATTATTTTCTTCTGTGGTGACTCGTCTTGGTTCCCAGCAGAATTAAACACAAGCTAGCTTTCCTCCCTGTAGCTGTCCTCCATAGATTGCCAAAGTGCTCAAATGTGACATTTTCTTTTGATGATGGAAGATATTTATATTTGCATTCTGCCCATTTGCAGGGTACCAACAGCCCCAGGAGGGGCTGTGGCACAGGAAAGTACCTGGCTGCCCACCTTCAGCCACAGCAGCCCAAAGCTCCGCATTAAGGCCTGGGCTTAATGCCTAGGAGGAGGCTGAGCTGTACTTTTCAGTTAGGTACCAGTGTGAACACAGGAGAGTTTCAACATGTTCATTTAAGGGGCAACAAAATGAAAGATGCTGCCTCTAGGAGTGGGATCTCCAAGCGAGGAGGAAGGCAGGGGCAGAAGGACAGGGAGATGCTGTAGTACTTCATGGTGAGGTCTGAGAGAGGCCTTTTCCTACTTTTTTAAAACAAAAATACATGAACCTAAGTAAGAAGGGAGGAAGGATAAAAATTTGTGCTTCTCAGGTTTAGTTAATTTAAGAGCTTCAACTTGCTATCATTGGCAATTTCCCATCACTTGTCCACAAAACCACTACTGGATCTTTTGCTGTGTCATAAGTAGCCATTTCCATTCAGTTTTTCTAAAGGGCACCTTAGGCACAGAGTTTTAAGTAGAGTAGGGAACTGCTGGCCTGGGTAAGTTCTGCCACTATCACCCATCCTAAGTGTGACAAATTAAAGCCAGAGATTGGAAGTTTGGAAAATCCAAATCCTGTCACTTGCAAGCTGACAGCCATTCAGCAGTTAAACAAGGACAAGCCGTGCTGCATCAAGGGGCCAGGGTTTTTTTGGTGCAGGGGGGATGCCTGCTCACAAGGGCAAGGAAGGGAGACAGGAGCACTCCTGTGGCCGCAGCCGAGGGGGACCTCGCTGAGCATGCACTGGTTGCCCCAAGGACAGGCTCCCCAAATGTATCAAGCCCCTCAGTTAACTCATGGGATTTCTCCCATCTTTCTCTTTCTCACACAGACACCGAGAAGTCCCAGCAAAACCAGACGGACGACTCCAACCCTGAAGACGGCTCACTCAAGAAGAAGCAGCGAAGACAGAGGACGCACTTCACCAGCCAGCAGCTCCAGGAGCTGGAAGCCACTTTCCAGAGAAACCGTTACCCAGACATGAGCACCAGGGAGGAGATTGCAGTCTGGACCAACCTGACAGAGGCACGAGTCCGGGTAGGACTGCAGCCCTCCTGCCTTCCCGGGCCCAAGCTTGTGGGGAGCAAGCTGGCGTGATACAAGCCACCAAGCTGTCCCTGAACCAAGGAAGGAATTGGGGCACTAGAAAATTTCCCTGTCTTGAAAACACCTCAGCAGGCTCTACACCCGAGATTTGACACATCCAGCCACACACATACCCCATGCTGGTGGTGCCTTCCCCATCCAGTGCCACCTTGCAAAAACACAGGACGATGCAAAGCCCAGGCTCTGCCCCACAGAGCCCTACCAGCTGGCTGCCCCGACCCAGCAGATCCCTTCCTTGCTGTGCCGTTGTTCCCCAGCCTTAGCCTTGCTGGAGGGCAGTCTTTGGGGTTCCCAAACCACTGTGTAGTCACAGGCATAGTGTGGCAGGGCTCCAGCTGGAATGAGAGTTTCTCTCTGCTACTAGAAATATGAGTTAGCAGCACCATGAATAGCCTTCCAGCGGCTTCCACGCTCTAGGAAGCTATATTGTTTGAGTCCCTCCAACAGTAACAGATTTTCCTCTTAGAAGACAGACTTCTAACACCCCACCCAAGCTGGTCCTGAGATGAAGTCAAAACAAGAGAGGTTATTTCCTCCACTCAGCAGCTCTCAAACCACATCCCCCAAATATTTTACTCCCAAGTCACACAACCCCAATACCTCCTCCTGGGCTGTGGTCAACTTGGAAATACAGCAAGTATTTTCCTCCCTTTTCCCCTGTATGTAGGACATCCATTTGTTGAGTGAGGTGGGTTATTCTGTGCGTTGTTAAATGGCAGTGGTTGGGTTTTGATCTAGGTGGTGATTCTTACTGGGAGATGAACCTGCAGCCTAGACATTTTGCTGCAACCCTTCCCTGATGCTCACCTTCCCAGCTCCCTGGGGCCGGGAACATCCCCAGCCCTTCAACAGCTCTTGCCTTGCTGGGCAGAGAGACCGGGGCAAGGCCTCTTCCAGGGACAGCCCAGAGCAATTCCCATCCCCTCCCTCCCTCTTTCTCTCTCTCTCAGGTCTGGTTCAAAAACCGCAGAGCTAAGTGGAGGAAACGGGAGAGGAACCAACAGGCCGAGCTGTGCAAGAACAGCTTCGGAGCCCAGTTCAACGGACTGATGCAGCCTTATGACGACATGTATTCCAGCTATTCCTACAACAACTGGGCCACCAAAGGGCTCGCCACCAGCCCGCTGTCAGCCAAGAGCTTCCCATTCTTCAACTCCATGAACGTCAGTCCCCTCTCCTCCCAGCCCATGTTCTCCCCACCCAGCTCCATCGCCTCGATGACCATGCCTTCATCCATGGTCCCTTCCGCGGTGACCGGAGTACCGGCCTCCAGCCTCAACAACCTGGGAAACATCAACAACCTGAACAGCCCAAGCCTCAACTCTGCTGTCTCATCCAGTGCCTGTCCTTATGCCTCAACAGCCAGCCCCTACATGTACAGGGACACATGCAACTCCAGCCTGGCCAGCCTGCGGCTGAAGGCCAAGCAGCACGCCAACTTCACCTACCCGGCAGTGCAGACGGCAGCTTCCAATCTGAGCCCTTGCCAATACGCTGTGGACAGGCCCGTATGAAGGGCTGCCCTCCACCAACCAGAGACTTGACCTTAGCCTGACAAAAGGAGACCTTTAGCCCTACAACAGCGTACGTCCTGCAGAGAATGAGAGTGAACATGAAAGAGCAAGAGAGCGAGAGAGAGTGAGAGCGAGCGGCGAGCAGGCAGACGGACCTCTATGAAGATTTGTCTAACTATCGTATGGTGAATTTTGACTGTCTCTCCCCTCCCAAACCCCTTCCCTTCTGGCCCACCAAACCTCCTCCTTCGTGGTAAAGAAACCAAAACAGTCTACTGGAGCCCCTTGGGGAAATAGGAGCCCTGACATGCAAGGTGCCTGACCCATGGGCAGCAGAACCAAGTGTGTTTCAATCTGCCCCTCTGAGCTCCCCAGGGGTGAGCTCCCCAAATCCCTGGAACAGCACAGGCAGCTGGACGCCACCCCACAGGGAACAGCCTGGGACAGGGCAACACAGGGGCTGCCATTCAGTGCACGGCTGACCCCTTCTCCCTGCACGCGTGAGAGATTTCAGCTAAAGACGTCTTGCCCACTTATTTATCACACAGCCAGTAAGGAAAGCCTTGTCTCAGTCAATTGGCATCTCTCTTTATAATGCATACATATACATGGCCCTTCAGACTTGAAGCCTTTAGGAACTGGGAGTTGTAAGGATACAAAATATGTGTGTGTATAAATCATATATATACACACAAATACATATATAGACATTAAAATACGCTTTTTTGTTTTGTACAAGAAATAACCTACAAAGTAGACCTTAAAACCAAAAACCCCATAAAGCAAGCACAGCCACCGAGGCGGCGTCCTGCCTGTCATGCTTTACTGCTTCAGTCATTTCCAGTCAGACAGGAACACCTTTGCCAGTGTACATCCAAAGCATCCCCTTTTGCAACAATCAGCTCCCCCTTGCACATCTCCTTCCCTTCCCTTCTCCAAATCCCATTTCCAAAAAAGATAATAAAGTAAAAGTTGGCACAATCCCTTTAAGGCTTCTGCCTGTCTGGTTATTGAGAGCACAAACCTGTTTCTGAAGACTCAGAAATCAAGCTCCAGCAGCCCAGGTGATAGTGCGCATCTTTGGGAGCACCAGCATAAGGCATCCTGAGTTGGAACAGGGGCCTGAGTTTTGGAGGAGCCATCTCTGTTCCTCGCTTACAAGTGAAACACCTGGCTCCTCAGCAGACACAGTATGAAGGGGAAAACAAGCCCCCTCCCTGCTCCCTGTCTGCATGCACCCACTGCAACAGGAAGGTCAAGCCCCTCCTGGCTCAGGCTTCCCTGCCGTGCTGGATGGGGCCAGCGCCTTTGGGCTCCCAGCAGCCCAGGGCAGGAGAGCCCTTCCAGGCACTCCCACTCTGAACAGCAGTCACCAGGGGAGAGGCTGGCTGCAGCAACCTGCCCTGCTAGCCTGCCCCTGCACAGTTTCCATTGGGAAAACCATAAGCCAGAGGTGACTTTCCCAAAATGTACATGCACCAGGGGGACCTGCTGCTTCAGCAAATGCAGAGGGATGCAGCAGGTTCCTCCAAGGGCCCAAGGAAGCTCCATGCGCAGCAGGACATCCCTACCCAGTGCAACCTCCTTTCTCTTCATCAGGCACACACTCCAAGGAGAAAGCACAACCCCAATATTTTACTTTTATCTTAGGAAAAAAAACCACCAAAGCGTATCACCACAAGAAACTACCTTACTTGGATGAATAGGATAGTCAAACCTCACATAAACCAGTTTTCTGCAATGTTGTTAGCATGGGGGAGGAAGCAAGTTCTTTGCTAAGAGGGATCCTCACTAGGTCGCAGTAAGAGGTCCCTCACAAGCAAACCATATGAGCAGCTCAGTCATATTGCCAAAGCCTATTCCACAGGGAGCAGTTGCTGCTGAAGGTATTGGCAAGCAGATGCTGAAAGCAGTCACAGATGTCAGCCCAACTTCACTGTAACAAAATTATTCTTTGCTCTGTGCTAATCCAAAATGATGGAGCCAAGTTACCCTGCACTGAAACAGCTACTGCTAGAAGCACAACCCTATCTGCAACATGCATTCAGAGATCAAGCATAAACACATAAAACATAGACATAGCACATCCAAGACAAGACCATTCATTGTAACCTGGATCCTACCTTGCCACTGGGCACCAGTGCTGCTGTAGTAGCTCCAGTGGTTAGTCTCTGTTGGCTGCTGGAGCCTCCCTCCTTCCCAACAACCACAGGCTTCATCTTGGTAGTGCTGTGCTTATCTCCCTTCTCTGCTATGCCTCTTCCCACTAAGGGAAGAAAGAATGGCCTGGGCTTCTCTCTAATATCATCTCCTCCACTGAGCCTGACTCGCAGCTGAGTCCAACTCCTCTCCCTGATAACCCAAGCCAGGTGGTGCCAGAATCCTCTCCTAGTTCTTGATGAAGGAGCCAAGCTCTTTACACAGCTGGTTCTTCCCCTACACCATTTCTATGCACTCTTCCTCTCCATGCCATGCTGATGTCAAGCACAGGTGGGAACACGGCAAAAACAGAACAAGAATCTCTCAAAGATGCAGCTTTGCCTGGAGAAGAAATTGTAGGGGAGACCCAGCTTCCCTTTCACTTGTGTGGTGTGTCTATGGAGGGAAAGAAAATTCTCCCTTCTCTTCTTCCCAGCTGAAGCCAGGAGCAACATGAGCTTCTCCTTCCCTTTTAACCTGCTCTAGTAGATAAACTTTGCCTTGAGCAGTTTCTGCACAGCTTTGGTTGTTCTCCTCATTGCTATGATGCTTGTGAAGGTCCTCTACTTGTCCCACAGAGAAGATGAGGTTTCGTTGGGGTGGGGGTATACAAGGCTGGCTGCTGCTGACTGTTGCACGATTCAGCTGATGAAAGATGTGCCCAAATATACAGAACAGAAGGCCAACTCCAGCACACGGTTCTCATAATCCCCTGTTGGAGCCAGTGGGAAAAAGTCAAGACCTAGTTTAGGTGCTGATTTTTTCAGCCTGAGGTTTTCCATGCAATCATTTCAATTAACATTACACCAGACCAGTCTGATTTCTGAGCAGGACAGGCTCAGTCAGTACCCACAGGAGGCAAGTGGTGCATGCAAGTGTGTGGCCAGTGGCTCTGCAGGCTGGCTAGTTGGTTCAAGTTTCTCCTTCCCAATCCTGTACGGAGAAGATGGAGAAGATGGTGGGGTCTGTTTCTGCAGAGGTATTGCACCATGTAGGAATCCAGACCAGAGGGCAAACCACGCACCAGCTCTGAGCTGACAGCGCTTTGTACAATGGCACCAAGTAACTGACACAACCTTGGGAAAAGCTTAAAATCTGCAGACACCAGAGGTAGTCAACAGTAAATAAAGTGAGCAAGTTGGCAGCAGAGAGCTCTGGGAGGGGTCCCATGATTTCCAAATGCCACCTGCCTTCCTGATGCAGCTGAGCCAGTGCAGCCTCCCACATTCAGCTCCCTCCCTGTGGGGCTAGGCCATGGACATCATGCTGTCTGGTCCAGCACAAATACAGCAGGTGTCCTACAGACCTTCTCCGGGACCCCTCTCTCTCACAAGTCTCCAGTACCTCCCTAGCTGTATCTCCTTGGTACTGCAACCCAAGCAGGTGTATTTTAGCAGGGTCCTCCTTATTCTAAAGACCTGTTAGGCAAGTAACTATGTCACTGGATACTTCCCAATCTGCAGATTTAGCAAGTGCACATTCTTCTCCATCATCCAGGTCATTAATGGAAATGCTGAACAAAACCAGACCCGGAACAGATGTCCCTGAACTTCACTCAACAGACCCCTTCCTTTTCAACAGCGAACCACAGATAACTCTCTGGGTATAATTATCCAATGGGTTTTGTACCCAACATCCCATCTACATCATCCCTAAGAGCCACTTAAATGGCAGCCAGGGCTCTTCTTCATGATGCCCTTACCCTGTCACAGAGGAAAATCAGATTATCTTGATCAGATTCTGTTCTTGACTGGTCCATATGGCTCTTGCTCATCTCCACTGCTTACAAGTAGTGAGATTATTTGCTGAAGCATTTTTTGGGCGGCGGGTGGGCGAGGGGATTTAACTCCCAGCAGTTCTTGGCTTTTGACCCCAGTCCCCATTTTGAAGGGGGGGAAGGTACAAAGCTTGCATTCAGTCTTTCCATGCCTCACTGTCCCCCAGTAGTTCTCAGAAATAACATCAACTATTTCTGGAACTGCTTTGCGTAAAGACCACCACACCCAGATGGTCTGAAAAATTCCCGTTTATCTAAATACCCTCTTGCTTGTGCTTTGCTTATCCAAGGCCAGGCTTTTAGCCCCCACCGCCGGCATGCCTTGCGCTAGCCGTTCCCCTGTAGCTATCTTTATTTGAAGGCTGGTGTGAATCCCACCCAGCAGCTGGGTCCCCTCGGTGGCTGCCGCCAGCGTGGGCCCTCTCTGCTGAAAAGCAGCGCACGGCCACCTCGGCTTAGCCTCCGCTGTTGGGACAACGGGGACTTGTGTTCCGACATCTCATCCTTGGGGCACGCTGGCCTTTGCCACGGCCTCTCGATAGAGCCCCAAGCTGCGGGCTGGACGTGAACATTCACGCTGCTGCTGCAGACACTAAAAACCGGGCTCAGGTGGGCAGGCAAGAAGTGGATCTGCTTGTTGCCTTAATGGCCCCGTAGGCCGGGGCGGGGGCACTTCCCTCACGGCCGCGGCAGGGCGGAGGGCAGGCCCCGCGGGCCGGGCTGGGGGCGGGAGCGGGTGCGGTGGTGTCGCCTAGCGGGTGCTGGCACCCAGGGCAGGCCGGGGCTGGCCCCGCGGCCCCTGCCGGCCGCAGCGGTCCGCCGGCGCGGGGGAGCCGCGCTCCCGCCCGCGTCCCGAGGACAGGAAAAGCCTCCCGAAGGAATCCTCGCCCTCTGCCGGTCCCCGCCGGCTCTCCAGCCCCGCTTCACCGCCTCCCGCAGCCTGGGGCTCCGTCTCCTCCTGTCCGCAGCACCCCCTGCCCGGCCGGCGCGGAGCCGCACCCTCCGGCCGCCCCGAAGCCAAGCG